AAGTTACTTCAAAGTTTAGACCAGCTTTTGTCAACTTTTTTACCACAGAGAAATTCTTGCAACCATTTTCAGGTTTTGGGGAACCCTTGGTACATTTATCATGGAGCAGTGGGAAGAATTTCCCCTTTACAGTGGTGGTTAGAATGCCACCCTTAAGACCTGTACGCACAATGAGAATATCGGACTAATGATCCTGTTTTTTGTATTTTTTTGCATGTTAGTCTCATAGTCCCTCTTTAAGAATGGCTGTCTTAGAGACACACACACACACACACACACACACACATATATATATATATATACACACACAAACGCACATTATATATATATATGTGTGTGTGTATATATATATATATATATATATATATATATATATATATATATATATATATATATATACACACATACATACACACACACACACACACATATATATATATATTACATACATATATATATATATATTATATATATACACACACACGCACACACACACACACACACATATATATGTATGTGTGTGTATATATATGTGTGTGTGTGTGTGTATATATATATATATATATATATATATATATATATATATATATATATATACACACACACACACACACACACACACACACACACACACACATATATATATATATATATATATATATATATACACACACACACACATATTTTATATATACACACACACACACACACACACACACACACAACATATATACACACACACACATACATATATATATACACACACACACACATATATATATTACACACACTATATATATATATATATATACACACACACACACACACACATATATACACACACACACACACATATATATATATATATATGCATACACACACACACACACACACGTGCTGTTCAAGGGGCATTGCAAGTAAAAAATTTGCATATCCCAGACTTACTGGAATGCAGACGTGTGCTTTTGTAAGTTAGTATGTACTCATCACACATTACAAAGCTGTATGTGTACCTGAGGCGGTCTGTATGCACTGGATTACAGAAGTGTAAAGCACTATTTGCACATTGGGCTGCAGAAAAGTGTACATGAGAAGCAATATGTACATAAAGAGGCAAATGAGGTGGTGTCTTCCCCAAACACAGTTATATAAGACAATTACCGAGACTGAACAGAGTTCTCTATATTTTTGTTTGATTATACCCAGTTATAAACCAATTATACATTTTGCAGTCTATTACAGACTCTAACCTGAGGTAGCATCCATTGACAGGTAAACAATGGCCTGTGGCAGTATAAGCGTATTTCGGGTAGATTTCAAACCAGGGAGCCACAGGTGTTGCATATGGCCACTCACAGGAATCAGAGGTTCTATGCAGCTGTTCGTGGGTATTTGGGTGAACACACGCATGTGTTCCAACATACGACCCTAGATGCAGACTGTACCTAAATACCGGAGTATATCTATGTGCAGCTATTGATTACTATTGGCACCTTTCTTAGCACCAGTGGCTCCTCGCCCAGGGAATACACCTGAATTTAAAGCTGCGGACAGATGCATGGAAATTCAGCTGGATCAGCAGGGACTGGCCTAAATTTGATCCATCAATGGCTGTTCCCGCTCAAGAGAAGTCAAATCGGCTGCATATGCTGATTGGTGTGTTTAGACAACGGAGGAGTCACGCTATCAGAATACAATGGCAAAGAGGGAAAGATACCTCTATCCACCTCGCATGTGCAGATTGGGGAATATGTTAGTTTTTCTCTGATGAATGGTCTATGGTCAGCCTAAAGATTTTCGACTACCCCATCAACACAGTGTTGATGAAGGGAAGCCACTGAGTCCTCCCAGCGGGCGTGCTGTCCACACCGGGAGCACACAGTGATTGCTGCTAGCGTCTATAATAGCCACTAGCGATAATCACATGTAAAATCCAACAGGCTGGTTGTACCCAAGTTGATCGATCAACTTAGCTACATTCAGCCTGCACATACGTGGTTCGAATCTCGGTCGGTCCCTGCTGAACCAGCCAAAATTCGGAACATCTATGGCCAGCATTACATTGAACAGCCCCAGGCGCCTGTGTTCATGTGGCCTAGACAGATATTTATATAACGTGACATGAAAACTATGGCTCTTTTTCTAGACTTAATCCATTACCATTTATCTGGTGCAAGACTCAAATGCTTAGCGTTGGAACTTTGCAGGAGTGGAGGAAATTGGGAACGGGCAAATTATTTTAAACAGACTATGAAAGAATCGTTTGTTGATAGCTTAAGTAATTTAATTGCACATAACTAGCTACAAAAATAGAATCTCTGCATGATTTAGTATCTAAATTACAGAAAATAGCAGTGTGTTGGGGAAAGGTAGAGGAAGAGGGGGGGTTCGGAGAAGTGTGTCTGTTTCTGATGAAGGCTGTGTGGCCTACAAGCACACAGCCCCTTTATCTACATGATGTTTTAGAAGTGACAGACAGGGAAGGGGGGTCTGCATACCGGTAGGGGCTCTGTTTATACACACAGGGCATGGCCTGACAGGCACAAGCCTTTCTTGTGCTGGAGGTGAGAGGTCACCCAGTCTAAATGATAGGGGTTCAAATACCAGGATAAATTGTTAACTATTTCATCACGGAGCAGATGAAGCCTGTCAGCACACTACAGCTCAGCATTTTTTTCACAATACCTTAAAAAGGAGTATTAGCATAAAAAGTATGGTTTTAGCCGGCTGCTAGGGGAGGTCAGCTGGGGGCCTTTAACTTTATAGATAATATTTCATCCTCTATTGTCTAAGGAAATCATGAAAAAAAAGATAATCAACCTTGGCCTGCCCTCAGCCTAAATTCTTAGAACCTCGATCGCGCCTTTATGACTCAGTTATTACATCAATTTAGGTAAATGAAAATGTCTCCAATTTTAAATACTGACCACATTTTTAATAACTTTATTTTATTATCAATTCATATCATTTTAAAGCCAAACACCAGATTTTAAGAGTTAAAAGAAAAACTTTAAACACCTCTAAATCCTGCAGTCTTTGGGCCAATCTTGTGAAACGGCAGTCCTTTCTCTTCTCTTTGTGCGGTGGATGGCTGTTACTTCTGGACAGCCAAGTGTTCTGTCCAGGAGTAATGTGAGCTCAGGGGGCGTGTCCATGACAGCCCACATGCACAGGAAGTGGGTTGGATGATGCTGGCTGTCATTCAATTCGGAAGAGAAGAGGAGGCGTGTACAGTTAGAGTTATTATTATTATACAGGATTTATATAGTGCCAACAGTTTGCGCAGCGCTTTACAATATAAGGGAGACAGTACACTTACAATACATTTCAGTACAGAAGGAAAGTGAGGGCCCTGCTCATGGAGCTTACAATCTAAAGCTTTTTTTTTTTCTAACCAGAACTAAGCAACTTATTTTTTTTTTTTCTGAGTAAGTGGAATCAGGTTTAAAATTTTTCATCAATATTTTTTATACATTATAGTACATAATCCACACTGGCTCTTCCAGTAACCCTTCATTAACCTCTAAAACAGGAGTGTTGGCATCAAGCTAAAATGAACTGTTTGGCATCAAACTATCGTTGAATATTAATTCAATATGTTAGCAACTAGTAAACTTCATCATAATCCAAAATACATTTAGCCTCATATACAGTATGAACTTTTTGGAAAAAAAAAAAAAAAAAATTACCATTTAGATTTTCCCTTAGACATATAATAAGGGATGTGTAATGAAGTGAGAATCTGATTGGCTCTTTTCAACACAAGCCCTATTCCAGCAGGTTTACTAAGGCCTACTCTTTGAAAAGACTTGGCTAAATTGCCCAAAGCCACAAAGCAGATCCTTTAATTGCTTGACCTGTATCAAAAAGTGACAACTAGAATCTTCTAGAAGCTTGCTAGAGGCAATACCAATTATCTTCTTTTTAGACTAATGTTGTGTTTTAAGTTTTTTCACGGATTTCCTTAATTTTGTGGTGAAGTTTTAAGATATTCTCCATTAAAGCATATGTCGAGTCAAAAAACAGTTTATACATTTCCCCACGTACCCCTTAAGAGTGTTGCCTATACAGAAAAATGACAGTTGATGTGTCAGAAATATAGTGTGGTCCTACCTTCCTCACTGATATGACAACACAAGGTATATTTGGTTCTGAATTCCAAAGTGCTTGGTGTCAGCCGTGCCAGCTTAATTTCTGAGAGAACATAGACCTCTCCTCAACTCCCACTCCACCCATTCCTCCTCATCACCATAACCCCATCTTGTGCATAGTCAGAGAACATTTCTGAATTATCAGCTAAGACGAATCCTGGCAAAATCTTGTAACTAACATGGATTAGTAGTTTTATCACTGTTGTCAGGGTAAAATAGCCAAACATTTAAATTAAAAAAAGGAAATGGTAAATACCTAGGAAGACAGTTTTGACAACTGCTGAGCTGTTGCCCTTGGCTATAACACAGTTGTTTGCTCCTTCTTATTTCCCAGCCACCCCTTGTTTGCTTTTGGTGAAATGGGAGAGCACGGGATTAGGGGAAGAGCAGCAACACCGATTTGCTGGGTCAAAAAGAAGAACATATCTAGTCGCCCTGCCTCCTTTTCAGCCAATGTGTGTTAGGGTTGGCTGGAAGACAAAGAAAGTGAATCTTCTTTGGTAGCCAAGCGCTGCATGTATGACAGGTCAGTGGTTGAAAAAAAAAAAAAAAAAAAACCTTCAGCTACACAAGGTATATATCTGTTGTGTTCTTTGACCATATACCTTTTGTTTAAACACCTCCACTACAAAACACATAAGAAATGTATAGGAAGAAATGAAATAAATAATTATAATGTGAACACTCTTCACAAATTACAAAACGGTCACAGGTACATATGCCTGTTAATGTACATAATCTAATATGGTATTTAGCTGATGATATTTAAAAAAAGCAAATCTATTGCCTTTCGGTGCAAAATGCTGTAGTAATAATACTTTTTTTTTTTTCTTTTTCAGAATCCTCACCATGCATATCCTATTTGTATGGGGTGTACTACTAAGTGCCACATGTACAGTCCTCGTTGAAACTTGTGAAGATGGCTGTCAATGCCAAGTACCTTTTACCATCTTCTGCTCAAGTCGCAAGAACCCCAGTTTTCCCCGGAACATACCTCAGAACACCTTAAGCCTTTACCTTTTTGAGAATGGCATCAGTTCCATAGAAGAAAGCAGTTTTTCAGGTTTGTGGGACTTGCAGCTCCTAGATCTATCTCATAACAAGCTGTCTCATCTACCTGGTGGAGTTTTTAAGAGCTTGGCAAACCTCAGCAACCTTGACCTTTCATCTAATCAAGTTACCGAGATCTCTGCAGAGACCTTTCAAGGGCTCGGTCGGTTAGAAAGGTTGTATCTCAGTGGTAATCAGATTCGTAGTATTCATTCCGATGCCTTCAGAGGTCTTGAGAACTTGCTTGAACTGAAGCTGTCACAGAATCAACTAGTTGTAGCACCAGCTTTCTCCTTACCACATCTTTTGCTCTTGGATCTTAGCTACAATGATATTCCCACCATCCAACCTGGAGTATTCCATGCAAGCAATATTGAGACTCTAAGACTGGCTGGTCTTGGCCTAAAAGAAGTACCAGCAGACCTATTGAATGGCCTCAGGAATCTTCATGATCTAGACCTGTCTCATAATCAGCTTAGTAAACTGCCACCTGGTCTACGTGGCTTAACCAAACTCAACCTTGCTGACAATGCTGCAATTTCTCAGCTTCAGCCAGATGATTTCTCTGGTCTTACTGGATTACAGGATTTAGATTTAAGTGGGTTGAATCTTCGTACTTTGCCAAAGGGTCTTTTCCAATCTTCAAAACGCCTTCGTGGCATAAGCCTGGCACAAAACCCTTTTAATTGTGTGTGCTTATTAAGCTGGCTGACAGAATGGCTACGAGTGAGTGGGGTTGTTCTGCTGCGTTCTGATGAAACTCGCTGTCATTTCCCTCCCAAAAATTCTGGCAAGATTTTACGTAATTTACAAAGTTCTGACTTTGGATGTCCAATACCAACAACAGTCTTTGTGCCTACAACCTTAGCACCTACCACTACTGCGCCACCACCTACAACTACAACTTCTAAACCAACAGCCAGACCAACCTCTGTCCCAACCACCACCATTCCACCTTATCAGACAGAAATTCAAGACCCCGACATACCAACTGCATATGACCAATTGTGTCCACCTCAAACTTGCTTGAATGGTGGTTTCTGTAGAATGAACCCACTTGGGGAACTAGAATGTGAATGTCCAGCTGGATTCTATGGTATGTTTTGTGAGATGCTGTCATTAACACCCTTTGCTGAACAGCCTATATTACAACTGCAAGTGATTGAAGTAACCAGCGGCTCTATTAAAGTTGATCTACAAAGTTATATTGAAAACAAGAAACACCTACCGGGACTTAGACTCACGGTCCAAAACCTGTCTAGCCCAGATCACTGGTCTGTTACCTACCAGCTCCCTCCATCAATCCCATATTATTCCCTGACAGAACTGTCTGCTAACAGCACTTACAGGCTTTGTCTTGGAACTATGCATGATGTGAGCCCAGAAAGTGAGCTTTGCACAGAGGCACAGACTTTAGCAGAATCTCCAAAATCTAGTGCACACATCAATCAGTCTCGGGAGGGAAATCTAACCTTGGTTTTAGTGCCAGCTGCCGCAGCTGGGATTTTGCTTGTGGTAGTTATAGTAAGTGCAGTATGTTATGCACGAAGACGTAGAGAAAAGGCACACGCAGGTGAGAATGGGGGTCCTTTAGAGATGGAAGGAGTAAAAATGGCGCTCGAAGAGAAAAGTGACTTAAAAAAGTTATCCGACAGCTCAAATGGTCCAGACAGAGGATGGCAGACAGAAGAGCCACTAATGGATTCCACCAGAATAGTAAACAATAATGATGCACCCACAGGCCGGCTTCCACATTCTTACTTTTAAGCTGGGGAGTAAGACCAAACCATGGAACTCATAAACACTCCCAGTAGCAGCTTGTGGAGATTTCCAAGACATCTTTCACTCAGACAATGTCTAGGCTTGCTGGGAGATTTGCCTAGGAGATAGCTGTGCTGTCTAGGCTTTCAGGCAGAGGACAATAACGGAGCATTGACCAGCCTGTGGCTCCAAATGCAAGCGATAAATACATTATTTTGAAGCAACTGCATGTGAAACAGGTATTGCTTGTGAATCTTGAAACACAGACCTCTGTTGCGGAAATGTTATTCCAAGAAAGGAACATGGTGGAACATGATGAACATCCAAAAAACATCAGGAAAACTCATGCACTGCATCCACAGGTGGACTTGTGCCAAATGGGTACACAAGGGGTGAGAAGAGACATTACATTAACTGTGCAAAGGAATAAGGACATTCTTACAAGCCTTCTAAAGTGAAGGGGCACTTACCTGACTTGAGAAGACCACATTTCAAGAAATTTGTGTAACAAAAAAAAAAATATATACCAGCATTCACCCTGATCCTGTGGGAAAAGGTCAATGACTTTGCTTGATGAACTAAACTGGCAATTATATTTGGGGTTGGCGGGGTACAAGGCACCGATTGCTGGACAAGGTGGTGCCGATTGTTAATAAGTGTCTGCCTTAATAAATATGGAATGTTTTTACATATATGGATGCCCTGTCTCTCTTTTTGTTTCTTTTATCTTGAGCCAAGCGGTTAAAATGGTAAAAAAGTAGTTGGGTGAAAAAACACGACAAATGCTTTAGAAATCTGTGAGTGCAATTTAAAGTAGAATGTAATATACTTGATACACAGCAAAAAGCACTGCAGATAAAACTTACAGCAGTAGTTTGATCTGCAGAGCACCCAGGCACAGATGTCAAGGACCACCAAGGGTTAGACTTGGGCCTAAAATCCATAATCCACAATCAATCAAATAATAAGCATTATTTGTGCCATGTAGGGATTATTTACACGGCAAAATAAGGCACTTATGGGATTTGAAGACACCCATCACATGCAAAGGTTTCCTGAAAAAAATCCATAGAGCAGGTTACCAATGGTTCATTTTCTCCTCTTCACTGAGCAGGTATTTGATTCATAATTCACAAACTGACATCTTACAAGCTTTTTTAAAAGAATTAGTGCAAACACAATTAGTTTTAGTATATGTAAGAATCTGAAAAGGGTCAACTTAAAAAAAAAAAGTTCCGTTTTAGGTGGAGTTCCTCCTCAGGTTTACCAGTGTTGAATCCTCTCTGCCATTGTCTTTAGCTGTCATTTTGTATTTCTTGGGATTGTTCCAACAGATCCTGTTGGATTCTTGAGCCGGCTAGACATGGATCCAAATTCAGCCGGTTTAGCAAGGATCCATGTATGGGCTGGGTGGTTGTACAGAAGTCGATCTACCGATCAACTTCTGTACAACTACCCTGTTAGATTTTTGCCAGTCAATCAGCGCCACCAGCTCTAGTCGGCAGCACTAATCAGTGTATTCTGATGGCGGGGAGGTCTCTTGCTGTCAGAATACAAAGGCACAATGGGATGATTCCCCCATCCACTTGTGATGTGTTGATGGGGAAATCAAGACAGTTTTATAGTTTTGTTTTTGTTCAACCGGCTGGTTGAAGGAAAAATAAAAAGGGATCATCTATGTGCGTTCTGATTCTTGATAATCAAAATCAAATAAATAGCCAAATGAGCTCTCTCATTATGAAGAAGATAGTATCCAGTGAGGTACAATATTTGCATATGCACAACAAACATTCTACCATGTAATATATAACTTTTAGTTATATAACTGCAAATATCAAGAACTCTTTAAAAATAATAGTTACTTTTCTCTTAAAGATGAATTTAAGCCACATATAAAAATACAAATGAACACAAAAAAATATATTTTGCAATCTGCTGTACAGCAGTATTTAGAATCAGACAAAAAAGGGAAGCAAAAGGAGCCAATCAGGTGTGCGGCATGTACTTCTGCTGACAATGAGGGAAGAGCAGAGGGATGAGTTCACTGGTCTGCTGCTGCTCCTCCACTGTCACAGTAACAGCTGGCCTTACACGGATCAAAATTTGGCTGATCCAGCAGGGACCGGACGAATTTCAATCCATGTATGGGCTAGCTGGTTGTATACTAGTCGATCTATTCATTGACTTGTGGAAAACCAGCCTGTTGGGCGTTTCCCAAATGATAAATGCCGCCGGCTGTAGCCGGCAAGACTGATCATTGTATTCTGCTGGTGGGCAAGGCTTCTCGCCAGCAGAATACAATGACTCAGCAGGAGTGATTCCCCCATCCATATCAAATGTGTGGATGGAGGAATCAGTTTATTTTTTTCTTGTTCAACAAAAAAAATGAAACATGTACAGGATGGGGGGTAAGGAGGTGACCAAGCAGTATTGTTTAAAGCGGTATTAAACCAAAAACGTAATATTTTGCAGCTTACCCATCATTAGATGTGGAGTTTGCATTAATTTTTTTTTCCCTCTGTTTGCACCATACCAATACATTGCAGACTTAAAGTGTTACTAAACCCAGGACCCTGTAGTCCCTATATCTGGTCTCCCACAGTACACACAACATGGAAATGCAATTATTTTAGTAAATATAAACTGCTAAATAACTTTTCTCAGCAGCTGGAGCAGTCTTGTGATGTCTATCAGTGTCCAGCAGAGCACTGGTTAAAGCTTGTAGGAGGAGTTTTCATTCTGCTCTAGGAGGATGCAGAACCCCTGATCTATGTCTAGATGGTGCTGAGTGGCCCTGTGCTGATCACATGCACTCTCCCAAGAAAAAAAAAACTCTCTAGCAATACACACCAAACTAAAGCATGTGCAGAGTGACTCCAAACCTCTGTTCTATCAGGAGATACAGTGCCTTGAAAAAGCAAGACTCTATTTACTAATTAGGTGACTTCTGAATGCAATTGGTTCCACAAGATTTTAGTTAGGGGTATGAGAGTAAAGGGGGCTGAATACAAATGCACGCCACACTCTTGAGATTTTTCCTTCCACTTCACAATTATGTGTCACTTTACCATTTGGTCTATCACATAAAATCCCAATAAATTGCATTTACGTATTTTTGGTTGTAACATGACAACAATGTGGAAAATTATAAGGGGTATAAATACTTTTTTCAAGGCACTGTAGGGGACAATGGAGGAAGGGAAGGATCAAACAGCCTTTTGACACAATGCAAAGGATTAACCCCTTAGGTTCCACAGTGAGGTACAAGCATTCCCTGCAAATACAGACTGACTTTACTGTTGTGGGTTTAGCAAAACACTTTAAGCGGATCACAGACTGTTGGATTACTTTTGTTCTTCCTGGGGGACTGAATGAAAAAAAAGAACAGATTCTTTGGTCCACACAAATAAGGTACATGAAATAAACCGCCCTGCCAGGATTTACGTTTTTGCCCATAGCAAACCAAACTATCACAAAACAGTGGTTCTCAACCTTCCTAATTCCGTGACCCTTTAATACAGTTCTTCATGTTGTGGGGACCCCAACCATAAAATTATTTACCCAGTAATTATAATTCATGAGTGTCGTTTTAACCTCCAATACTGCTGCTTTCAACACAGTAGCATGCTTTTATACAGAGTAGCTGCTTTCAACACAGCAGCTGCTTTCTACACAGTGGCTGCTTTTTACACATCGGAAATATGTGGTTTTCTGATTGTCTTAGGGGACCCCTGAAAAAAAAAGGTCGTTCGACCCCCAAAAGGGGTACACGACCCACAGGTTGACCAAACCACTGATCTAGAAAGAATGGGCATCACAGGTACCTTGGTCCACAGTACATAAATAAAAAATAAACAGATAGTAATACATAAACTGGGAAACAATATAAAATAAGTGAATAGAAAAAATTCATATAAAAAGTCCTATTCAAAAGGTGCCAACAAGGGAAAAATCATTCCTTCCTAATGTCATAAAGTGCTACCATTAGACACCATCACCCAAAGCGATAATGGGATACACCCTTAATCAGATTTTCATGACCCCCTTACAACAAGAGTGGTCAGAAAGCGCTTATGCAGTCTCCTCAGGTATCAGGATCACACTCCAAACAGCCTCAATAATGACCGGGGACATCGACAGCTGAATATACATAACCCAATTCACAGCATAATGGTTCATGAAAGGCAAGAGAAGAAGAGCCTCTCCATAGTGAAAAAAAAACGTTTTTTTAAAAATGTATTATGTAAAGAAACGCATTCACAGAGTTAAAAAAACTTGACATATAAAAAATATAGTCACCATGCCGGCATAAACATCCATTTCCTGGAACACAATAACATCAGTACGAGGATCCACCTGATAAGTTCTGTCATCAAAAGATGTCTTCTGGGGCGCATATTTCCAGGAAATGGATGTCTATGCCGGTCTGGTGATTATATTTTCATGCACATGTTTTTTAACTCTATGTGAGTGCATTTTGTTCGTGTAAAAAGTTTTAAAAAAAAATTATTGTGTAACTAAATGCACTCACATAGAGTTAAAAAACATGCGCATGAAAATAAAATCACCAGACCGGCATAGACATCCATTTCCTGGAACACAATAACATCAGTACAAGGATCCACCCGATGCATTTCGTCATCAAAAGATGTCTTCTGGGGCGCCTTTTGCCAGCAAATGGATGTCTATGCTGGCCTGGTGACTATAGTGTAAAAAGTTTTTTTTTTTTCTTGCGCAGAGAGCAAAAGACGCCCCAGTAAACACCAAGCCAGCATCATCCACTTTGATGACGACATCTTTTGATGACGAAACGCATCGGGTCGATCCTCGTATTGATGTCATTGCGTTCCAGGAAATGGATGTCTATGCGGGCTTGGTGATTATATTTTATATGTACATGTTTTTTTTAATTCTATATGAGTGCATTTCTTTACATAATACATTTTTAAAAAATGTTTTTACACTATGGAGAGGCTCTTCTTTTGCCTTAAAGGGGTGTCCAAACT